GAAAGAAAGAAAGAAAAGAAGGAAGGAAGGATAAAGTGAGGAGGATGTCAGGCGCCAGCCACACAGCCACACAGCCAGCAATAGAGCAAGAGTAGGATATACAGAAGGAAGAAAAGAAAAAAAAACCAGAGGCAAAAGGCAGATGGGATAATTTAAGGTAACAAAAGCTGGCTAGAAACAAGCCAAGCTAAGTCTGGGCATTTATAAGTAAGAATAAGTCTCCATGTGTGTGAATTATTTGGGAACTGGGTGGTGAACCCCAAAAGAACAAAGAACAAAGAGCCTAGAGTAAAAAATACTGACAACTACAGGTGTGTTCTGGGGAAACAGAGAAAAGCACGTTTGCCTTTACCTGGATGGGGCATCACAGAGACAGTGATTTATGAGTTGGACTCAGTGAGTGAAGGATAGCTTGATGGACAAGAGCTCAAGTGTCATCCCATGCACTAAGGAAAAACCAATTGATACGAAAACCAATAAGGAGACAGGGCTTCTGGGGATGGATTACAGACAATAACCTGGACATCCTATTCTGTGCTGCTCAAGCACAGAGGAATGATCTTTCCTATCTGCTACTGAATTGACAATGAGCTTACATCTCTCTTTGCTGCAGAGAAATTGCCTCCATTTGCAAGAGGATTAGTGTATTAGTCAGGGTTCTTTAGAGTCACAGAACTTATGGAATGAATATCTATCTGTCTGTCTATCTATCTATCTATCTATCTATCTATCTATCTATCTATCTATCTATCTATCTATCACCTATCTAGGAATGACTTTCAGGCTGCAGTCCAATTATTCAACAATAGTTAGCTATGCATGGAACATCCAAGAACCTAGTAGCTCACTCCCACAAGGTTGGGTGTCTCAGCTGGATTTCTGTAGATGTTGGAATCCCAAAGAAGCAGACTCCAATGCCAGTAAAGGAATGGATGTGCTGCCAAGGCAAAGGTAAACAGACAAAGAACCAACATACCCCCTTCCTTCTTCCATCATTCTTCCAACAGTAGGTGTGGCTCAGATTAAAGGTGTGCCTTCGCGCCTCAAGATCTGGATCAAAAGTCTGTGTCTTCTAGTCTCAAGATCCAGATCAAAGACCTGCTGTCTTTCTGCTTCAAGATCCTGATCATTATGAAAGAGAGAGAGAGGGAGAGAGAGAGAGAGAGAGAAAGAAAGAAAGAAGAATGGAAGAGGGGAGGAAGGGAAGGGAGCAGAGAAAGATTTATAGCTCAATAAAAACTTTTTTTTTAAAAAAAAACTACTTCAAAAAAAGAATAAGCAGAGTATGAGCTTTTGGGTAAAAGGGGAAAAAAAGATCCTGATCACATGTATACCCTCCATTTCTGGACTGTAGTTTATTTTAGATATAGTCAAGTTGACAAGCAAGAATAGCCATCACAATTGGGATAGGGTCTCTAAACTCACAACCACCACCAGTCCTGAGGTCCCAGCAATTAAACCTTCCTATATGCAGTCCTTCTACCTCTAGGAAGATAATAGGCTATGTGAGGGTCTGGAGGTATAGGCAGAGGTCAGGATAGACCATAAAGTCCCCTGAAACTGGAGTTACAGATGGTCGTGGGCCTCTATGTGGGTGCTGGGTATTGAACTGGGGTCCACTACAAGGGTAGTAAGTGCTCTTTGCTGCTGAGTCTTCTCTCTAGTACCCTCTTTCTTTCTTTCTTTTTTTTTTTTTTTTTTTTTTGTTTTTTTGAGACAGGGTTTCTCTGTAGTTTTTGGTGCCTGTCCTGGAACTAACTCTTGTAGACCAGGCTGGCCTCGAACTCACAGAGATCCGCCTGCCTCTGCCTCCCGAGTGCTGGGATTAAAGGCGTGCGCCACCACCGCCCGGCAGTACCCTCTTTCTTTAAAACCACTTTTTTTCTAGTGCTCTTAAGAAGGCGGGTGCTCAGTGGTAGAGCACTTGACACTCAAGAGAGAAGACCACAGATCTCCAGAACTCTTGAAAAACTCCTGAAGGTCTGGTGGCATGCCAGTCATCCCTGTCAACTGAAGGCAGGGACTGGGGATACATGGACCAAGCTGGCTGGCTAGTAAGACTAACAGAGACATCTAGCTTATGGGTTTTGAGATCGATCTAGCCCCAGTAAATAAAGTGAGAGCCTATCCTGGAAAACACCCAGTGTCAACCTGAAGACACACACACAGAGATCGAGAGAAAGAGAGAGAGAGAGAGAGAGAGAGAGAGAGAGAGAGAGAGAGGGAGAGAGAGAGGAAGGGAAGGAGGGAGGGAGGGAGACAGGGAGGGAGGGAAGGAGTACTCCTTGTTTAGATAATGCTCCTTTTGTAAATCAATCATTTGAGAAACTTGCCAGGATGTAAAGATATTTGTATGAATATGTTACTGAAGCATTATCTGTAGTGCCAAAGAGCTATGAACAGTTTGAATGGTGAGTGGTAGAAGGGCTGATTTAATTACAGTGCCTCACTCCATCCTGATCTTCAATGTTACCATTTCAACATATGATCAATGTGTCTTTTGATGCCGTGGCTTGTGCTTTCCCTTAAAATAGGATATACATGTATATAATTTTATACTATTTGTTTATTTTTGGTTTTTCGAGACAGAGGAATTTCTCTGTGTCGCCTTGATATAGAAGGAACTTGCTTTGTAAACCAGGCTGGTTTCGGACCTCCCCCCCCTTTTTAACATCACATTTCAGATCAGACTAACAGATGGCAAGTGCTTAACAGAATATCTAAGATGTACATCTCTGGAGTGGACACAATCTTCTTTACCGGTGGAAAATATTTACTCTCAACGATGTACATCTAGACGACAGGTTTATTAGGCTCAGCATCTACTGCCAAACGCGATAACCTGAGTTCGATCCATAAGACAGACCCACATGGTAGGGAAGAAGCAATTTCTGAAAACTGTGACACGTGGCAGGTGCACGAATTCACATAACACACAAATAAATAATAAATAAATGCTCTGTGTAACAATTAAGATTTTTAAAAAGACCTATCTGTCATTTTCAAGGATTTGCAGCTTCTTCCCGACTGTTAGAGTACTGAGCCTGGGTCCCCTGTAGGGATTCTATCCCCTAGAAAAATGCTGGCTTCTCCTTCTCCTCCTTGCTCATCCACTTCCTGCCTGCAGTAACCAATGGCACCTGCTACCTGGGCTCTTCTGCCTTGCCCCGCCGGCAGGAAATCCCCGGTCATGCGCAGCTTCCTGAAGCCAGGCTGAACCCTCCACCGAGTCCTGGCTTCTCGGCTTCCCGCCTAGTCCAGTCGGCACCCGTCATTCGACTGCACTCTTAGAGGGGATCCCTGGAGAGTTGTGGTCCACACGACTCGAAGGGCATTTGGCTGCTTTCACAACGTGGCCATTAGGAACCAGGAAGGATCTTTCAGGTCAGAACCCGCGCTGAGCTCGGCCAATGGACTGATGCATAGCGGGTTGCTGGGCAGCGAAAAGACCAATCCGCAATCTCTACTCCCAGAGACCAATGACATATAATGATAGTCTGGTTTCATTTTCTCAAAAAGACGCGGGATTCTAGCTGCTAGAGGAAAGCCCTTGAGGAAAAGCTGGTGAGTAAAATGCCCCTTAAGGTTAATTTCTGGCTCTTCAGTTAGAATCGATTGATTAATCTGTCTCTTTTGATAACAATACCATGAGGTTTTTATTATTTTATCTCGATAGTACATCTTGAAACCAGGGGTGGTGATAGCTCTTGATATTCTTTTATTGTACGGGATTGTTTTAGCTATCCTGAGTGTTTCTTTTTCCATATGAAGTTAAGTATTGTCTTTTAACTTTGTAAAGAATTAAGAATTTTGTTAAGCCATCGCTGGAAGACTTTTTTTTTGGCAGCGCGCGGAGTGGGGTGGGGTGGGGGGACAGAGGGTGAATGGATATGAAGGAGAGGGAAGGTAGGGAGAGGGAGAGGAGCCGGGAGGATTGAAGGGAGGGGAAACAGCGGTTGGGAAGAATAAAAAAAGTGTATATATATAAAGATAATTTCTTCGTATCCAAATGTTGTGCATAGCAAAAATTCACAATACATTTCCTAAATCTGTTCCTAAATCTGTTTTTTTTTTTTTTAGAATAAAAATACACAGAGTAAGTGAAAAGTACTGACTTCTTCCTCAGGCACGCCTAGTGTGTAGCGTGGAAGCCGTCTATACACAAATAGCTGGCTACTACTTTAACCTGGCTTGTTTGTCTGCTGTTTCTATCAACATAAATGTACTAACCCAGAATGTTCTGCCAAGGGCTAGACAGTAGCAGTTGTCTTTATTAGTCACTAGAGTAGCGTCCTTAAGGTTCTGACTGGCAGGCATGTTGATTGTCAAACCCTGTGTCTCTTCAGGGCATTGAGAGGGTTTCCCTCAGAAAGAACAGACTTAATACTGGGTGCTGGATTCAAGTATAACAGGTGCTGGCCATGAGCAAGAGTCTATGAACAAACTGTGGTAGTCAGCATTGCGTTTAAACTGCTCTTTCCCTTTGCAGAGACAGCAGGAGAAAATACCACTTCAAACAAAGGCCTAAAGTGGTAGTAATTAATGTTTCTAGCTGTCATTTTGGCCAACTTTTCAGACTTCTTTTTGATATATCTTTTCTGTTTCCTTTGTTTTCAGGTTACTGCTCAGTTCTCTTTCCCTGCCCTTTTCATCTCTTTATTAAATAAAGGGCTGATTTTAACACCAACGTAAGTAGAACATTGTTTTGAGTTTCCCAGCTGCAAACTCTTTGTAGGATATGCGCATTTGAATTCTCTGTTTACTTCAAGCTGTGGGTTTGGATACACCATCTACCTTGTAAGACATATCCTTTCTCTCAACAAAATCTATATAGAACCTGCTTTCTATGGTAGTGATGGGGTTAGCTAACACAGATGATTTCTGTTAAGTGTTTGGTAGAGGGCATGGCATGTAATGCTCTGCTTTTGTTATTTGGGTGACTGTGTTTGGTGGATACCATCCTGGGACAAGCAAGGCCAGAGCTGAAGGGGAAAGATAGAATATAGGACCCAGTTCATTTTTTAGTCTGTATGCAGAGATACCATCATAACTTGAAACTTGAAACACCTCTTTCTTTCTTCCTTTCTTTCTTTCTTCCTTTCTTTCTTTCTTCCTTCCTTTCTTTCTTTCTTTCTTTCTTTCTTTCTGTCTTTCTGTCTTTCTGTCTTTCTGTCTTTCTGTCTTTCT